CGACACTGAAGACTCCATCCGAGGCTCGCAGTTTTCTCGGTTTGGCTGGCTATTACTGCAGGTTCATTGAGGGCTTCTCCAAGATTGCCCTTCCTTTGTCCCAGCTGACGAGGAAGTCTGTGAAGTTTGAGTGGACTGATCGATGTGAATCGAGCTTCCAGGAGCTCAAGAAGAGGCTAACCACAGCACCGGTGTTGACTATTCCCGATCCTTCTCGGAGTTTCACCATTTTCAGTGATGCTTCAAGACAGGGTTTGGGATGCGTACTCTTGCAGGATGGCTAGGTCATTGCTTATGCTTCACGTCAATTAAATCCCCATGAACAGAACTATCTGACGCATGACTTGGAGCTAGCCGCAGTTGTTCATGCCCTCAAGATTTGGCGACATTATCTATACGGCGGTCGATGTGAGATTTTCACTGATCGTAAGAGCTTACAGTATATTTTCACTCAAAATGAGCTCAACATGAGGCAGGGCCGTTGGTTGGAGCTCGTTAAGGATTATGATTGCACGATCTAGTACCATCCGGGAAAGGCGAATGTCGTTGCTGATGCCGTAAGCCGTAAGGTGAAGGGTGATTTGACTTATGTGGTTACTCAGCAGAACCATCTTATCCAGGAGTTCACCCGGATGCAGATTCAGGTAGTTGACGCACTTCCTACACCGATATCGGGGAGTGTCAGTTCTATGCAGGTTCAGCCGAAGTTGAGGGAAAGGCTCCGGCGGGAGCAGGCTTCTAATGAATTTGTTCGTGCTATTGATGCCAATGTCCGCACCGGAGGCGTCGAGGGTTTTCACCGAGGCACTGATGGGGCCTTGGAATTTCGAGGCAGGATTGTTGTGCCAAAAGTTGAGGCGTTACGGAAAGAGATATTGACCGAAGCTCATACCGCACCATATTTAGCCCATCCAGGGAACACGAAGATGTATCATGACCTGAAAAGGTCGTTCTGGTGGCGAGGGATGAAGAAGGACGTAGCCGACTTTGTGAGGAAATGTTTAACCTGTCAGCAAGTCAAAGCCGAACATAAGAGTCCCTTGGGCCTCCTGCAACCACTACCGATTCCGAAGTGGAAGTGGGAGGAAGTTACGATGGATTTTGTCACGGGGTTACCGAGGTCGTCTGAACATCACGATGCTATTTGGGTCGTGGTGGACAGATTGACTAAGATTGCTCACTTCTTACCAGTATCGATGAATATGTCTTTGGACAAGTTGGCTGAGATTTATACCCGTGGGATCATTCGACTCCACGGAGTGCCTGTTACTATCGTGTTAGACAGAGACCCCAAATTCACTAGTAGATTCTGGCAGAGTTTGCACGAGGCTATGGGCACGAGACTAGAGTTCAGTTCACCCTACCATCCAGAGACTGATGAACAGACCGAGCGGACCATTTAGACGTTGAAGGATATGCTACGAGCTTTGGTTGTTGACATGGGTGCTAAGTGGGAGTCATTATTGCCATTGGTCGAGTTCGCGTACAACAACAGTTATCATGCTTCTATTCCGATGGCTCCTTATGAGGCACTTTACGGTCGTAAGTGTCGTTCCCCTCTTTATTGGGACGACGTGGGTGAGCGTCGAGTACTCGGTCCGAAGATGATCGAGGAAATGGTAGAACAGGTGGAGTTGATCAGGCAAAGATTAAAAACAGCTCAGAGTCGGCAAAAATCATCAGCCGATCAGCATAGGCGAGACATCCAGTTTGAGGTTGGGGAGCGAGCCTTTCTTAGAGTTCGTCCATTCCGCGGAGTCGTTCTATTCGAGAAGCGAGGGAA